CTTGTAGGTGTTTTGTTCAGTTTCGTGAGAAACGCGAATCAGGTACTGTACTTGCGTGGCGACCCTCGCTCCGGCTGCAGGTGGAGGGGACACGCCTCTGCCGCCTGGCCGCCCCCAGGTCGCCGCTGTTTCAGGTTTTTGCATTCAGGTTTCCTCCTACCAGTAACTCAGAGATGTCCCACTGTCTGTCAGGAAGTCCCTGCCCTGTCTGTCACTCATGCTGACTGCTGGCCAGTGCCCGGCATGACACGTCCACGGCAGGCGGTCTGCTGGGGGAGCCCCACACCTGCGCTGCCCAGCTGAGCCGGGCCCTGGGGGGCGTGGGGCTGTTAGGCTCCAGGGCCGCCGTCGGCCCGGGTGCTTCGCTGTCTGTTCTGCTTCCACTTGCTGAGGGGGAAGATTGGGCCGTGGCAGGTGTCCCTTGGAGCCCCGTGGACATCAGAATGAAGTATCACTTTTCAGGTTCTTTAACAGTGTCTCCAGAGTTTGTGCTTTAATCTTTAAAAAAATTCATTTTCTCATTTCAAATCAGTTAACTATTCTGGATGAACCAAATCACTCATTTGCCGATGACCTTCTGGAAACATCGTTTTGTTTAGAACTGTGTCACTGCTTAATCTAAATTTGCATTGGACTATGCTTTAGTGTATTTATAAATGGTGAACTCAGTTTCTGAAATTAAACTTTTATTTGCAGTTTTCTAGTGCTGGTGAACAGTAGTGTTTCATTTTTCAAACCACAACTCAGGTGACCTGCGGGGACCGCACTCGAGCAGCCCTCGGGAGCCACACGTGGTGCCCACGGTGGCAAGCATAGCAAGCCTCCCCAGGCCCTGTGTGGGAGAGCCGCTGGTTAGCCTGGGGTGGCCTCATTTGTGCCTCCCAGGTCCATCGGGTCACCGAGTGCCCTGGCCCCTCTGGGGACCCTCTGCGAAGCTGTCGGCCCGACGAAGTTCAGTGTAGAAACAGGGCATCCTTCCAGAAGAAACCTGGGGCCGCCTGTCGCAGGACCTGGCTGCCTCGGGGCCTGAGCAAGCAGCCAGGGCCATCTTGCACATTGCTCAGAACCAGTGCCAGGGTCGTGGTGCCGTTCTGTGCTTGGTGCCCGACAGCATGCCCTTAGGGAGGGCACCTTAGCTCCCCACTCGGCTGACTGCAGTGGTGTCTCTGGTTCTGGATGAACTTTCATTTATTGTTTCCAAGATTCACTGATTTATTGCAAGAAGAGAGTAAGCTCCTCCATCCTGTGATTCACTCCCCAAAAGGCCCCGGTGGCCAAGGCTGGACCAGGACAAAGCCAGGCGCCCCATCCGGGTTTCCCATGCAGGTACCAGGGGCCCGAGCCCCTAGGCCGTCCTCAGCTGCCTTTCCAGGTGCATCGGTGGGAGCCGAACTGGGAGCAGAAACACCGGGTCCAGCAGTGCTGTGATGTGGTTTGTGCATTCAAGACAGCAGCCCCTGCAGGTTTTAGTTCCTTAACTTGCCTTGCCCTCTTTCAGACGGTGAACTCTCACGCTCAGCTGCCTGAACATCACAGGTCCAGCCCCTGCCACTGTGACTGACCAGTGCTGACCTGACAGCTCCCAAGGTCACAGACGGGTTCACTCCAGGTGGTCCCGGACTCCCATGTGAGTGGTCACACCAGTCAGTAGGTGTGCCTTGGCAGGAAGCTGGCATCAGGAGCCTGCACACCCTGACATGACCTAAAGCTAGTCTGTGTGCCTGCCAACATGAAGAGCCAGGCTGCGAAGAAGCAGAATCCTGTGTCCCCAGCTCTCAGATGTCCCGTGGGGATGTTTGCTGGTGGCACTGGGCTGGAAAGACCCACAGAAGGACCTTGGCCACATTGTCCAGGACCTCAGGAGCCAAGATCTTAGGGAAACCTTGCAGAAGTGGGCCCAATCTCCAGTGTGCTCCCCTGCCCCTCGGGTAGGCACAGGCATATAAGCGTCCAACACTGAGCGTTCCCAGGGGGTTAGTGGACAGGGCAGTCCTCTCAAGGCCTGGGGGGCTCTGCCAGGACCTAAGGATGGCCACAAGCACAGAGCTGGATGGGAAGTGGGGCAGCTAGGACGTGAATCAGCCTCCATGTGGGGTACCAGCTCTGCAAGGTGGAGGATTAGCCTGTTTAGTCATTGCGCTGCTCGTGGAAGTGGATTCTAGGACGTCAAAAACTCTAGGAAAACTACTAAAAATAAAATTGTTTACGAAACTATGGAAGGACATCAATTAATAGTTACTTTAGCTAATCTGAAACAAGGTACGGGAGAAACAAAAGTGGACACATGTAAAAAGATTTTATGTCCCAGCGGCATCTGCAAACATTTTACTTGAAAGCGCTTCCTGCTGCTTCCCTGGCTCACTGGGACGGCAGTGCCAACCAGGCTGGGCCAGTCAGCTGCACGCAGTCTCGTGTGGATGGCAAGGGCTCGAGCGCAGCCGTCCCTGCCTCCCGGGACGTGCAGTAGCTGGTCGCAGGATGGGGTGTGGAGCTGGACTCAGCCAGTGTCTCCCATGGGGAAGTGGGCTGGTCCTGGAGGCCGAGGACTCAGCTGCCACAGGCTGACCAGACATGGAGACCTTCCCGCAAACGGGAAAACGGCCCATTCCGGTGAGGAAGAAGAAGCTGCAATGTTCCTCGCAAAGAAATTCGAGAAAGATCCACGAACAAAATGGAAGACCTAAAACCTTGGAGCAACACTGGGCCTGGCGGTGATATCTGGCTACTTCAAGGCACTGGCAACGAAGGAGAACCAGGGCACAGTCCTGCATGGTTCCCAGTGTCCAGTCAGGGTGAATGGAAACTGCAATGAATGACAGTACAGTCTCTGACATCAGGTGGGCACAGTGCTGAGGACTGCAGCTATTTTTTTTAAATATATATATTTTTAATTGGAAAGGCGGATATACAGAGAGGAGAGACAGAGAGGAAGATCTTCCGTCCGATGACTCACTCCCCAAGTGAGTGCAATGGCCGATGCTATGCCGATCCGAAGCCAGGAGCCTCTTCCAGGTCTCCCATGTGGGTGCAGGGTCCCAAAGCTTTGGGCCGTCCTCGACTGCTTTCCCAGGCCACAGGCAGGGAGCTGGAAGGGAAGCAGGGCTGCCGGGATAGAACTGGCACCCATATGGGATCCTGGGAGTGCAAGGCGAGGACCTTAACCACTTGCGCCACCGTGCTGGGCCCAAGATTTGTTTTTTTTTAATTGGAAAGTCAGATTTACACAGAGAAGGAGAGACAGAGAGAAAGATCTTCCGTTTGCTGGTTTACTCCCCAAGTGTTCACAACGGCCATAGCTGAGCTGATCAGAAGCCAGGAACTTCCTCCAGGTCTCCCACGTGGGTGCAGGGTTCCAAGACTTTGGGCCGTCCTTGACTGCTTTCCCAGGGCACAAGCAGGGAGCTGGATGGGAAGTGGAGCAGCCAGGATAAAAACCAGCACCCACATGGGATCCTGGCAGATAGTGATGAGGATTTTAGCCACAAGGCTACTGCGCTGGGCCCTACATCAGACAGTTTCAGGCCAAGGATATCAGAATGCTTCAAGAAGTGAATCAATAAATTGGCTTGTTTCAAAAGAAATAGTGTGCACTGGAAGATACCACCAAGGAGGGGGGGCACATCTCCAGGGACCTGCCTGCGATTTAGGTCAAGAACTAGGAAACAAAACCAGACCAGGTGGGACAAGAGTAGACGTGGGCCACGCAGCCAGCCCACATCCCAGCGTGCTCACTTTGGCCGTGAGGGTTGGTGCCCGTAGTTGGTTGCAGCCTTGCCCCTGCCTCCCGGCTCAGCACGACTGTCCTGCAGCAGGCTCCACTGTTGTCATCCTCTGGGCCAGGCAACTGCGAGCCCACATGCCATGAGCCGAGCTGTGTCCCCGCCACCTGCCAACGTCTGTGTCATGTCAGGCATTATAGCGAGAAGTGAGTGCACAGTCACTCCAGCAGACAGGAGCAGAAACGAGAAAAACGAACCCAACTGAATTTTTTACATTTCAAATTTATTTTCGCTTTATTTGGAAGCACAATCAGTGGCACTCATTCACTTCGAGACACCTGCTGCCAAGCAGGGGCAGGGACCCACACGTTGGAGCCATCGCTGCTGCCTCCTGGACTGCATAGCAGCAGGAAGTGCCCAGCACTGGGGCAGTCTGTTCTTCCCACCATGGCAGGGGTGAAATGCCACACTGCTCCTCCTGACCGAGCACAGCAGGTGAGGCTGGGGCCCACGAGCACTCCCATCACTGCGGGCACCCCGACACTGGGGCTGGGTTGGCCCTGAGGCAGTCAGCCCCGTGGAAGTGAACCGAGCTAGAGGTACAGGTCTGGCTCCAGGACATATGGGCATGGCAGCATAGTCCACTGATAGGCCTAAGCCTCACCAGCCCAGTAGCCACAGCACACCTGCAACAGAGGCCCAGGTGGACACCTTGTGCTCAGGAAGCTGGACGGGTGCCACTGGGCATGACCCAGAAGAGTGACGTGGCAGTTGACAGTGCATGCCAGGCACAGACAACACATGAATATAGGCAGTCAAGACACGTGACTGCAGGTACCTACACCTGATAGATGGCCAGATGGGGAGGAGGGCCGAAGCCTGCTCCCGACCAGCGCTGGGGACACACAGGCAGCCTGAGGAGGTGTGAAGGGCATGGACCTGCCAGGGGGCAGCAGCCTAAGCAACTTAGGTGACATCAGGCACACAGCAGTGCACACACCTTTAAGCTGATTCAGTGCCAAGCTGTGCCCCAATGGTGCCAGGGTGAGCAGGCCCCAGTAGTAACCACACTGGATACCCTGCATAAGAAAGATCCATTTTATTCCCATGCCTTTTCGTTTCTCTGAAGTGGAGCTGTGACCTTGACCCCAACAGCTGCAATGGCTGTGGTGTTCCTGGTGTCCAGGGCCATGTCTCTGTCTCCAGAGACCCACAGGCAGCAAGCACAGTGCCCGGCACAGATGGTGAGTGACCCGGTCCTCTGCCCTGGCCATGCAGCCGTGTACACAGTCCCCAGCCCTGCAGTGATGGGCAGATGCCAGAGCTTGGGCACATGGCTCTGTGTTCCGGTTGTGGCAGAGGCACCCAGTGCCCCTTCAGGACGGCCTGGGCAGCCGCTCCAGAAGTACCAGCTTTGGCTGCAGCTTCACATCCAAAGGGGGCAGCTTGGTCAGGTTCAGGCTCACACCTGTGGTGCCCAGGATGTGTTCCAGGATGCGGTGTGTGTCTCTGTAGAGGGCCAGGTGCTCGGGGACAGCCTCCATGAGCAGGTGGGTGTAGGTCAGCATGCCCACCTGCCCTGGCCACACATCTTCCCTCTTGTCGTAGCTGCAGGAGAGCCGCCAGTGCCACTTGAAGTCCCATGCCACAGCCCCCCCCAGGCTTGGTCGACCCCAAGGAGTCCTCGTTGGGAAACTAACCTCCAGGCGCTGTTGAGCTGAAGGAACCGTGAGACACCTGTCTGGGCGGCAGCCACATCAATGTGCAGATGGACATCTGAGGAGACCACAGCCTGTGAGGGCCGTGCCTGCACTGTGCCCACACCGCCCACACACTGCCTCTGGCACCCACCTGTCCTGGGGGGCACCAGCTCATGCAGCCGCTGCATCGCGACCCCACCAGGATAGTTGAAATGGGAAACGTGGAGGGACGTGGCTGCGTACGTGGCGTTGAGCACGAGGTGTCCGATCACAAGCAGGGACCCTGCCTTGTACAGCCAAGACTTCTTGGAATTGTTGAGCCTGGAAGCAGAGCCACTTTGCTTCGCGGAGACCCCAGAGCCCAGGCACATCCCGAAACCAGACCACAAGGCACACACCTGCAGGACTGACTGTCTGGCACCCAGGAGCGAGCCGAGCCGCCAGCCACACTGCCATGTCATCCAAACGCCAATTTCAAGTGTGCAGATTTTCAAGAAAGCACTTTGAACCCATCCCGAGAGACCCATGCTCAGCTGCCCACCCAGCTCTGTGGACCAGGTTCTCTAGTGCCGGGCCAAGGCTGGGCTCTGCCTGATGCCCGGGCTGACCTCTGCAGACGCTGTGGCCCCACAGATGCCAGCCGTGACTGACTGGCGCCAGAACTCCCTGCTGAGCTGACCACACAGGCCGGGCTCCGATCTGTGACTGCTCTCCGCCGGGCTGGACCTCGGCCCGTGAAACCCTCCGATTTCAGCACAGACCAGTCTCTCTCCCACCCCACTGACAGCCAAGGGCTTCAACAAACTCTAGCAGCTTCCAGTGGCTGGAGGCCACACCCGGAGGATGGCCACACGTGTCTTGTTCCTTGATGACCCGGCCCCTCGGGGCACTGTGGGGGCTCCGGTCAGGGTGCCTTCCTCTCACCTACCACCTGCGGCGGGAGCCTGTGGCGGGGGCTCCTGCCCATCCCCGAGGACTGTCCTTCCTCAGCGCTTGCTAACATCAGGCTGCCTCGGACCGCTCGGACCCCCAGCCCTGGGACTCGGCTGCGTCCACTCACTGGAGGTCAGCTCTAACAGTCAGCTTCCCGGAGAGCAAGGTGACGGAGGGGAGGGAGCAGAGGGCCCCGTTCTGCAGGCCATGGCACCTGCCCGCCCCTTCAGCCCAGGGCCACGTCCTGGAGTCACGTTACGGGGGCTGCTCCTCCCAAGCAGGGCAGGTGCAGTGCCCACAGGTCCAAGAGGACCCTCCCAGGACCACTGTGCCTACCCACACTCTGAGCGGCAAACAGGCCCATGTGCGTCTCAGCCCCAGGACCTTGTCCACATCCTGAGGAGGAGCCAAGCAGCCAGCAGTGGGCCTCCCAGCTCCCTGGGCAGTCCCCAAGCACCCACCACGTGATGTATGCCTCAGCCTCCTGGGATCCTGCACCAGGGGAAGGTACCGCTCTGGCCCAGCCAGCTCCCATCCCACACCTGGCGGGTGTCCCTGCCCCCAGCCAGCTCCCACACCTGGCGGGTGTCCCTGCCCCCAGCCAGCTACCACACCTGGCGGGTGTCCCTGCCCCCAGCCAGCTCCCACACCTGGCAGGTGTCCCTGGCCCAGCCAGCTCCCACACCTGAGAGGTGTCCCTGGCCCAGCCAGCTCCCACACCTGAGAGGTGTCCCTGCCCCCAGCCAGCTCCCACACCTGGCGGGTGTCCCTGCCCCCAGCCAGCTACCACACCTGGCAGGTGTCCCTGGCCCAGCCAGCTCCCACACCTGAGAGGTGTCCCTGGCCCAGCCAGCTCCCACACCTGGCGGGTGTCCCTGGCCCAGCCAGCTCCCACACCTGAGAGGTGTCCCTGCCCCCAGCCAGCTCCCACACCTGGCGGGTGTCCCTGCCCCCAGCCAGCTCCCACACCTGGCGGGTGTCCCTGCCCCCAGCCAGCTCCCACACCTGAGAGGTGTCCCTGGCCCAGCCAGCTCCCACACCTGGCGGGTGTCCCTGCCCCCAGCCAGCTCCCACACCTGGCGGGTGTCCCTGCCCCCAGCCAGCTCCCACACCTGGCAGGTGTCCCTGCCCCAGAGATGTGTGACAAGGCAGAGTCAGTACTGCCTGTGCTCACTACAGCACACACGGCCAGCACATCAAGGGCACCGGAGAACCCTCCCTGCTGGCACCGGGAATGGTCGGTCAGACACGCCCTCAGACTCACTCACAGATGAACGCAGCCTCTGGCGGCCACGATGTTGAACACGGGGAAGGTGTAGAGGATGAAGCGCAGCTCCTTGTGTGGAAGCAGTGAGTACAGCGCCACGAAGCCCAGGCTGGGCAGAGCCAGCAGCCTGGCCCTCCTGTCCACCATGCCCAGCGGCACGAGCAGCAGGCTGCAGCCCAGGCCGCGGGGCAAGGCGGAGTAGAAGTACCACAGGAACGGGGCAGTCAGGTCGGGTTAAGGAGGAGGCCACGTGTGTCACCAGGGCAGCTGGCAGGTCAGGCCAGAAAGGCCCCAGGAGGACAGTTGTGTCTGAGCAGGCACGGGTGCTCACAGTCCCTCACCTCAAAGGATACTCCCCAGTTGGAACTTTTGTTCAGGACGGTGTTGTACCAGAGCACCTCGCCCTCCGGCCAGACCCAGTGTTGCCAGAAATAAGAATCCACAACAACCGTGAGTCCTGACAAAACACAGAGTCCCCAAAAGGCTCCGAGCCCAGCATCGCCACAGGTCCTACCAGCAGGTGGCAGCCCCAGTGTCACTGTCACGGCTTCCCCCGCGGGACAGACGGATGGACAGAGGCTCCCTGGGCAGCAGGGCGGAGGACTGGCCGAGACCTGTCTGAACCCTGCTGCCTGAGGTGCTTCAGGTTTGAAGCCAACAAACAGCCCCGATGTCTCCCGCCCCCGTCAGGAACACTGACCTAAGCAGAGGCAGCCGGCGGGGACCGCGTGCTGGAGCAGCCTGGCCATAGACAGCTTCCTCGTGCGCAGGGCCAGCAGCAGCAGGAGGCCCAGGAACAGGCACAGCTCCGCCCTGAAGACGATGATGGCGAAGGCCGAGAGCCAGACGAAACGGGCCCACCTGTGCTGCAGCCAGGCCGTGAGGGCCGGCAGGACTGCAAGACACGGGCGTCAGACCAGCCGGCAGTGCCACGAGACCCTGGTCTCAGACCAGCTGGCAGTGCGGGACCCGGGGTCAGACTGGCTAGTGCCCAGCCACCATGCCCACCCCAGCTTGCAGCCACCTTGCTAAAGAACAGGGATCAACCTCCTTCTTAGGAAGCCACACCAAATCCTTCTGGAAGGCAAGTGTTGCTCAGCAGCACCAGCCAGGTGTACCCCACGCTAGACGACGCACATCTGAGGCCAGGGCCCAGCAGAGGACCCCAAACCAGCTTAGAGGAGCCCCTCCCCGCCACCTACCCACAGCCAGGGCCAGCACGTTGGGCAGCGTCCGTGTGCAGTAGTACATCAGGTGGAACTGAGAGGCCGTCACCCAGCAGAACATGGTGGCCACCGCAGCCCCAAACTGCCGCCTCACTTCCTTCTGCAGCAACCAGAGGCCCCCGATCACGCCAAGTCCAAGGGCTCCTCTAACTAGACAAAGACAGCGACACACGTGCTGACACGCTATCCTGGGGTCCCTCGAGGCTCCGACCACGTGGCGGGCAACCAACCGAGGCCACTGGCCCTCGTCCCTCTGATAGGAGATACAGCCGGAGCCTGAAGAAATCCAGGCCCGGGAATGGAATCCGATTAACGAGATGCCCTGCAGGCTGGTGGTCGGGAGGGTTGGAGGTACCCAGGTGGACTCAGCAGCTGCACTGCCCTTGGCATCTGTGCCCCAGACAGCAGGCCCTGGACCGGCAGCCACGGGGACAGACGCCATGGAGGCATCTGTAGCTGCACATGTGCACTGTTGATCCCGGGACAAACGGCCCGGACACGCAGTTGCCCCTCTGATCGCCATGCCCTAGGTGGGCCCACAGGGTCTCTGGGGCTCCCATCAGCCCTTCCCTGGGGACGCAGCACCCTGGCCAGCCTCGGCCCCTCCCTCCCCAAAGGCGGGAGGGCCCGGGGAGGCAACCAGGGTTTCTCCTACTTCCTGGCCTCCGAGTACTGGGCCCTGAGGATGCACGCCTTGTCCAGACAGAAGTACAGAGCTCCCAGCAGGGGCCAGAGCACCAGCGATTCGGATCTCCTCGGAGACGGGCTCCCGGCCCACCTCCCCAGAGTCAGTAGTCGCCTCCAGGGGGACACAGATGCTGCTGGGATTGCCCCAGATACATCCCCGATCTGGGGCTCCGACACCTTAGGGTAGGTCGGGACAGCCACATGTCCACTTCCTGACCGGTCCTCTCTCTCCTAGCAGGACTGAGCCTCCCTCAGCAGCTGCACCATCTGCAACGCCTTAGCCCCAGACGCACGGAGGGTCAGGTGGAAACGTCGCCGTGGCCTGGACACAGGCAAGGGACCGCCTCCCAGAAGCACAGCACACAGGGGCAGAGTATTAAGAAAAAAGCAAGGGTTCTGAACGAGACTGAGAAAGCTCCAGGCTGGGCAGTGTGGTGGCCTCGGAGCGTCCTGGGAACGGGCATGCCGCCTTGGCTCCTTCCCCAGCCCTCACCCCAAGCTTCGGGGAGGAGGCCAAGGCCCTGCACGTCCATGTCCTGGACCCCACAGGGACAAGCGCTCCCACACAGAGGGACCCGATGGGAGCAACCAAGCCCACAGACACCTCGGCCCCACCCCATGTGCCGCGCCCCCCAGTTCCAAGCCCTTACCTACGAGCTGGGAGTAGAACTTGGACACCTCCAACAGGGACAGCACCGAGACCACAGGGCTGGCCAGCACTGCCAGCAGCAGTGGCCCCAAGAAGGTCCTGGGCACAACCCCCGGGAACTCGAGGTGGTCGAACTGCAAGGGCAGGGCAGTCAGTGGTGGGCACTGCAGGGCTAGTGGAGCCGCAGGCCTGTCATGGCGGCAGCACCTCACCTTGTCCACAGCCAGCCGGTGGAACAGCAGGTCGTGTGCGGCCTGCAAGTTGAAGCTCTCCTCCACTTTGGTGTAGGGACAGACGACCAGGTGAACAGCAGCCACAGACAGGAGCAGCCCCAGCAGCAGCGGCTGCCTGCCTGCCGACCTCCTCCCAGCCATGTGCGGCTGGTGGTGCTGGGCGCTCTGCAGAGCTGGGTGAGAACCCAACCATTAGCACCTGCAGAGATGAAAGCCCACTGCCCCCCCAGGCTCACAGCGGTGGGGGGGTGGACCTGGCGGCAGGCAGGTGGACCCCTCTGAGCTGGGGGTCATCTGAGCTGTGCCAGACACGGGAAGGTCAGCCATTGTGCCTGCCTGGCCATCGCACTGCTGAAGCGCCACAACTTCCTCCCCAGGCAAGGACATGAACCCAGAACTCAGGACGAGCGCCAGGAGCAGCCAAAACGCCTCCCTGGCAGGAGGCTGGGCTGAGTCCCAAAGGGCTGGCAGGACAGGCTGGCAGTGGTGGGGCTGCCAGGCAGTAGTCCCATGGGTTGCCACAAGGAGACAAACAGAACCGAGCAGGCAGGCACAGAGGGCCACAGGCCTTCGCATCCTTTTGCCGTGGCAGGGGCTGGTACTTACTGTGCTACAGCCGTGTGCAGCCGGAGAGTCACCCAGTGGGGACAGGAGACAGCGAAGACCTGAGCGTCGAAGGAACAGGAATGCCTGCAGGCGTGCCAGGGCCGGGTCCAGGGACAAACGGGCCCTCGAAAAGGCCAGGATGCAGGCAGCCCCAGAACATGTTCTCCTTGCTGGCCGCCGGCGTCCCTGCCCTCACCGGTGAGATCGGGGCCCCCGCCTGCATCCCTGCCCTCGCCTGTGAGATGGGGGCTCCCGCCGGCATCCCTGCCCTCTCAGCCTCAAGCTGCTGACCCATGGGCAGCACTAGGGAAACACAGGGACTTGACAAGGGTGTGGAAGTGGGCATGCCCTGCTGACCACACTGCTCCGACTGAGAAGGAAGTGGAGGGTCATGCCAGGCACAGTCAGCCCTCCCGTGCTCTCAGAGCACAGCCCCACGCGGGGTCAGGGTTCTGCTGGGTGTCCCCACTGCCCGGCCTCAGCACCAGGTGACGGCTGGCACACACGTGGGCCCTGGCACCAGCGCCAGCCTGGTGAAGTCCAGGTGCCCGCGGTGCCCGGCCCCCAGGCTGGCAGGAGCAGCACAGGCCGTGCAGGAGCTCACTGAGGGGCCCAGCCCCGTCACCTGAGCCCCAGGTAGGAGACAGCCCCAAGACATGCAAGTGGATTCCAGGGGGGGACTCGGGTCCCAGAGGGGGGACCAGGCCTTCAGAGGGGAGACCCCGATCCCAGAGGGGGCCCCGGACCCCAGAGGGGAGACCCCGATCCCAGAGGGGGCCCCGGACCCCAGAGGAGGGACCAGGCCCTCAGAGGGGGGACCCGGATCCCAGAGGGGGGACCCGGCTCCGAGACGGGAGACCCGGCCCTCGGCCCCTCACCTTTCCCGCCTTCGGTTCCGTCCCGCCAAGCCTGTCAAGCCTTCGCTTCGGCAGGAAAGTGCGTGCAGAAACAAAACTCAGCAGTGAAGCCCGTGCCCGAACACAACATGGCCACCTAGATGCTCAGATAACGCTGTCGCTGCGGCTGTGAAGCCACTCCACTGCCAGGAATAAAGATGGCTCCCTGGAGAGGGGCGGGGCGAGAAGACGGACTCTGACTCTCGTGCCCCGTCCCGCCCCTTCCGGGAGGACGCTGACCCGGGGCCTTCCTATTGGTGGCTGCTCGTGGCGAGCTCGGATTGGCCCACGTCAGGACGGGGCGGACCAGGAAGGCCAATAGCGGAACCGGAGCGAGCCGAGGGGCGGGGCCTCGGCGCAGCCGTCAAGTAGCCCCGGGAACGGCCGGCCCGCTCGGGACGGGTGGGCGGCGGAGGCCGGAGCCGCCGAGTGCGCGTCGTCCCCGCCATGCGCCGGCCGCCCTGGGCTTCGCTGGGGCTGCTGCTGCCGCCGCTGCTGCTCCTGCTGCTGCCGCCGCCGGTGCCCGCATCGGAGGCCTCTCGGAAGCTGTCCCCGTGCCAGCGGTGCCGGGAGCTGGTGGACAAGTTCAAGCAGGTTCGTCCAGGGTGGAGGGTCGGGGGCTGCCCGAGGGGTGGTCCTGCGGCCAGCAGTGCCCGGGCTGGTGGACAAGTTCAACCAGGATGGACATTGGAGGGTCGGGGGCTGCCCGAGGGGTGGCCCTGCGGCTAGCGGTGCCCGGGCTGGTGGACAAGTTCAACCAGGGTGGACATTGGAGGGTCAGGGGCTGCCCGAGGGGTGGCCCTGCGGCCAGCGGTGCCCGGGCTGGTGGACAAGTTCAACCAGGGTGGACATTGGAGGGTCGGGGGCTGCCCGAGGGGTGGCCCTGCGGCCAGCGGTGCCCGGGCTGGTGGACAAGTTCAACCAGGGTGGACATTGGAGGGTCGGGGGCTGCCCGAGGGGTGGCCCTGCGGCCAGCGGTGCCCGGGCTGGTGGACAAGTTCAGCCAGGTGCGTCCAGGGTGGAGGACCGAGGGTCGGGGGCTGCCCGAGGGGTGGCCCTGCGGCTGGCTGGTGCCCAGCGTGCACCCCTCTCGGCAGGGCATGGCTGACACTGCCAACAAGAACTTCGGTGGTGGCAACACGGCTTGGGAGGAAAAGACCCTGAGCAAGTACGAGTTCAGGTGGGTGTCTGCCACAGCCGGTGCCGGGGTGCCCTGGCCCGCACCGTCCCCTGGGATCCATGCAGTGCCTGCAGTCCATTCCAGGGCCAGGCTGGGGGTCGGTGCTGGACTGCTGGTCCATCCAGCCTGCTCTGCAGACTGCCCATCCTCCAGTTTGGTTGAGCCCCAGGGAGCCCCTCTCCCCGGGCCGGCTCAGCCCACAACCCAGAGAGCCCCTCTCCCCGGCTGGCTCGGCCACGGGGTGCCCCAGGGAGCCCCTCTCCCCGGATGGCTTGGTCCACACCCCAGGGAGCCCCTCTTCCCGGCGGCTCAGCCCACACTCCAGGGGCCCCTCTCCCGTCCAGTGAGTCCTCTCCCACTGGCCTTGCAGTGAGATCCGCTTCCTGGAGATCATGGAGGGCCTGTGCTCCAGCAGCGACTTCGAGTGCAACCAGATGGTGGAGGAGCACGAGGAGCAGCTGGAGGCCTGGTGGCTGCGGCTGTGAGTGATGGAGCTGCTGCAGGGACAGCACGGGGCCAGAGGGCCACAGGACATACCTCCCTACTGTAGCTACCCGTGCCCACCAGAAGGTTCTTGCCCAGAGCTCATAGCACCTGGAGCTGCCCCGCACTCTGGGGTTGACTGCAGGGCTCAGCACAGCTTGAGACGTCGGTATTTGTCTTAGCTGTCCATGGCAAGTTCTGTGTCCAGCAGTGTTCCCAAGTTACCCCATGTGGATCAGGCTATGCTCCCCAAGTTACCCCAGGGGCACCATGCTGCGCTCCCCAAGTTACCCCAGGTACACCAGGCTATGCTCCCCAATTTGCCCCAGGTGCACGAGGCAGTGCTCCCCAAGTTATCCCAGGTGTGCCCGAGTTACCATGATGAGGCTGTCCAGGGCTTGGCAGGGCACACAGACTCACCCAAGGAGTGGCTGGTGGGGCCCAGGACTCTCCCCAAGGGGCCAGGTTTCTGTGGGCGCAGGCAGCGTGGCGGGCTCAGGCGCATCTCTGGTACCCTAGGAAGAAGGAGCACCCGGAGCTGTCCGAATGGTTCTGTGTGCACACACTACAGGTCTGCTGCTCTCCGGGGACCTATGGCCCACACTGTCACGGTACGTAGGGCCAAGCATCCTACCTCATGTCAGGGAATACAGCGTCATGGCAGCCCCCCAATCCGTCCTGGCTGACAGGCCTGGGTGTGGGGCGGCCCTCACGCAGTGTCCCTGGGCCCGGGCGCAGCTCTGCCCACCTGTTGGGAGCCCAGGGCATGGAGCGGCCTTCAGCCACGCCATAATTGAAATGGAAGCCGCTGATGTCCCGGTGTCCCTAAAGCAGTCGCGTGGTCAGGCCAGATCAGGTGGCACAAGCCTCCTGGGGGCCTCACTGGCATTCACGGGTGGCACCCTGTGAGAATAACTCTATGTCCTCCAAGCATGCCAGGGTGGATCCGAGAGGCCCTGCAGTGGGAATGGCCACTGCCACGGGGACGGCAGCAGGCACGGGGACGGGTCCTGCCAGTGCCACGTCGGCTACAAGGGGGCGCTGTGCACCGACTGCATAGATGGCTACTTCAGCTCCCTGAGGAATGAGACCCACAGTGTCTGCACAGGTGGGAACAGGGCCCTCGGTGTGCAGGGGGAGGGAGGGACCCTCGGTGTGCAGGGGGACGGAGCAGGTTTGGGCTAAGTCCGTGGTCACTGACAACCCCTTGTGCTGTTGCAGGGTTTCAGGTTGTCTCGTGCTCCATGTGAACAGCAATGGGGATTCTCCACTGCTTTTGTTCTTTGCTGCTTTTACTTTGATGTTTGTTCACTCGGAAAGCAGAGAAGGAGAGACAGAGTGGGGCTTTACCCTCTGCTTCCCTCCCTACGTGGCCAGGCCAAAGTCACGAGCCCGTGTGGGTGCAGGGGCCAGGGACGCGGGCCATCCTCCGCTGCTTTCCCAGGGGTGGAGCAGCTGGGGCGGTGGCCTGAGGGCTGCCCCATCCGCCTCTGGCCCCTCGTTCCCGGAGGGAGCTGCGCCTGTGCTTGGGGCTTGCTGACACGGCCTGTCTTCCAGCCTGCGACGAGTCCTGTAAGACATGCTCGGGCCCCACCAACAGACACTGTGGCGAGTGTGAAGTGGGCTGGGAGCGCGTGGAAGATGCCTGCATGGGTGAGGACACGGGTCAGCCAGGACGCTGGCTTCCTGCACCTCATAACCTTGGACGCTAGCCGGGCAGAGCTGGGACAAGGCCATTTACAGCGCCCCCAGCCCCAGTGAAAGCCATCTGGCTGAGCTGGACATGGGGTCGGCCCTGCCCTCTTCCCCCACCAGCCCTCGCTTGTGTCCCCCACGTGTCCCACCTGCCCTAGTCGGCCCTGCCCACGCCCTTTTCCCCACCCGGCCATGCTGTCTTGCAGATATAAACGAATGTGCAGCAGAGGCTCCCCCCTGCAGCGAGACGCAGTACTGTGAGAACACCAACGGCTCCTACCTGTGTGAAGGTGGCGTCTTGCGGGCCCTCTGGAGCCCTCCCGGGGGCGTCAGTGCTGCCTGCCCCCAACCCAAAGCTGAAGGGCGCGTCCCGGCTGCTCCTGAGCCCAGCTCCCTGCTCGCCACACCCTGACGGGTAGCAGACAACAGCTCAGATGCTTGGGGGATGTGGGTGGAGCTCATGGCTCACTTGTGGGCCTTTGGGGAGTGAACCAGCAGACGGAAGATCTCTCCCTTCCTCTGTGCCATTACTGAAACATCCCGTGTCTTGGGACAGGCCGTGCCGGCTCACGTTCCCGCTGCCTGGCCCTTCCTGTGGCCTCTCCTGGCTGGGTCTCTGGCATGAGATGCCCTTGGAGCTCTCCAGCCAGGGCTGTGGCTCTCCCGGTGCCCAGCAGGCGTCAGGCCCCGGCCACCAGCCTGGAGGACGGAGGGCGGTTGCTTCAGGAAATCTGTCACAGCAGGAGCTGTGTGGTTTGCCTTTGGGTTTTCTTTGATTTTACTTGGAAGGCCCAAAGGGAGCTTTCATTTGCTGGTTCACTCCCCAAACGCTGGCAGGAGGAAGGGCTGAATCAGGCTGAGCCAAGGGCCCTGGGAGTCAGCCCAAGCCGGCCAGGGTGGCAGGGCCCCAGGACGCCCCTACCCCAGCGCCCCCCAGGGTGTGCTCAGCAGCGAGCAGCAGGGTTGGAGAACTGGCCTGAGACCAGGCGCCACAGCCTAGGTGTGGGGTGGTGGACAGGTGGGGGTGCATGGGTGCCCACAGGTATCCACATGGCATGCGGTAGTATGATCTGTGCTTCTGCCAGTAGACCCGGACGAGGGGCGGAGCGCTCATGCCCTTGTCCTTGTTTAGAATGTGACTCCACCTGCGTGGGCTGCACGGGAAAGGGACCAGGAAAATGTAAAGAGTGTATCGCTGGCTACACACAGGAGAGTGGACAGTGCACAGGTGAGGGCTGGTCCCCGTCTACACTAGGTGGGTGGTGTGCAGTGAGGGCTGGTCCCCGTCTACACTAGGTGGGTGGTGTGCAGTGAGGGCTGGGTCCTTGTCTACACTAGGTGGACAGTGAGGGCTGGTCCCCGTCTACACTAGGTGGGCGGTGTGCAGTGAGGGCTGGGTCCTTGTCTACACTAGGTGTGCAGTGAGGGCTGGTCCCCGTCTACACTAGGTGGACAGTGAGGGCTGGTGCCCGTCTACACTAGGTGGGCGGTGTGCAGTGAGGGCTGGTCCCCGTCTACACTAGGTGGACAGTGAGGGCTGGTCCCCGTCTACACTAGGTGGGCGGTGTGCAGTGAGGGCTGGTCCCCGTCCACACTAGGTGGGTGGTGTGCAGTGAGGGCTGGGTCCTTGTCTACACTAGGTGGACAGTGAGGGCTGGTCCCCGTCTACACTAGGTGGGCGGTGTGCAGTGAGGGCTGGTCCCCTGTCTACACTAGGTGGACAGTGAGGGCTGGTCCCCGTCTACACTAGGTGGGCGGTGTGCAGTGAGGGCTGGTCCCCTGTCTACACTAGGTGGACAGTGAGGGCTGGTCCCCGTCTACACTAGGTGGACAGTGAGGGCTGGTCCCCGTCTACACTAGGTAGGTGGTGTGCAGTGAGGGCTGGGTCCCCGTCTACACTAGGTGGACAGTGAGGGCTGGTCCCCGTCTACACTAGGTGGACAGTGAGGGCTGGTCCCCGTCTACACTAGGTGTGCAGTGAGGGCTGGGTCCCCGTCTACACTAGGTGGACAGTGAGGGCTGGTCCCCGTCTACACTAGGTGGACAGTGAGGGCTGGTCCCCGTCTACACTAGGTGGACAGTGAGGGCTGGTCCCCGTCCACACACCTGCACTGAGCGGTGGCCCTGTCCCTACCCCCACCCTCAGCAGCCCCGTCATGGCCAGGGGAACCAGGTGGGCAGGCGAATCCTCTCGGACCCTCGCCACTTTGGGCCAGGGTTGTGCTGGCACCCACAGGGTGGACACCTGAGCCAGGGTCACGCTGACACCTGCGGGGAGGACTCGGGTTGGTGACCTGAGCCGGGGTCGCCCTGGCACCTGCGGGGAGGACTCGGGTTGTGGTCACCTGAGCCGGGGTCGCCCTGGCACCTGCGGGGAGGACTCGGGTTGGTGACCTGAGCTGGGGTCGCCCTGGCACCTGCGGGAGGACTCGGGTTGTGGTCACCTGAGCCGGGGTCGCCCTGGCACCTGCGGGGAGGACTCGGTAACGGGGTCCCTCTTCATTCAGACATTGATGAATGCTCCCTGCCGGAGCCGGTGTGCCCAAGGACCCATGAGAACTGTTACAACACTCCCGGCAGCTTCGTCTGCGTGTGCCCCGAAGGCTACCAGGACACAGACGAGGCCTGCGTGCCCCCGGCCACAGGTGGTGAGTGGTGGGCCAGCGTGGGCTCGGGGTGGGTGGGACAGGGCTGGGAAGGGCCCCAGGGGCACCTGGGCGGGCAGCAGGGGGGGCTCCCGAGGGCCACCCCCCAGCATTGGCCTCAGCCCAGGATCCCAGCCGAGCTCACTTTCCACTGAGGTCCCGGGGCACAGCAGGCGCCTCAGGCTGGCGTGGGACAGTCCTGCAGGAGGGGCTGTATCCACGGAGCCAACATTTCCACGAAGGCCAAAGTGCTACTCAGGTCCCAGGCGTCCCTGGGCACCAAGCAGGATACACGGAAAAGACCTCACGTCGGAGCTGGGGTGACGAAGAGGAGCCCCAAGTGGCCAGCAGCAGGCCCAGTCAGAGGACAGGTTCAGGCTGCCGGCCCGCCAGCGTGCTGCATCCCAGGCCCTGCAGGCTGCTGGGCCGCGCGTCCATGGGAGCCCTGCACGTGTCCCCCGCTGGGTCGCGCGTCCATGGGAGCCCCGCACAGTGTCCCCCCGCTGGGCCGCACGTCCGTGGGAGCCCCGCACAGTGTCCCCCCGCTGGGCTGCGCGTCCGTGGGAGCCCCGCACAGTGCACCCTGCTGGGCTGTGCGTCCGTGGGAGCCCCACACAGTGTCCCCCCGCTGGGCCGCGCGTCCGTGGGAGCCCCACACAGTGTCCCCCCACTGGGCCGCGTGTCCGTGGGAGCCCCGCACAGTGCACCCCGCTGGGCCGCGTGTCCGTGGGAGCCCCGCACAGTGTCCCCCCACTGGGCCGCGTGTCCGTGGGAGCCCCGCACAGTGCCACTCGGCGGCCAGGCTCTCAGGGGGCTGTTTGTTTTCCCACAGAGGTCACGGAGGAGACGCCCCCGCTGCCACTGTCGCGGGAAGAACTGTGACGGGGCCAGCTTGGCAGGGTCAGGCCTGCCACTCCACGCCTTTGGGGTGGCCCCCGCCCTTGGACTGTTGTTTCTAGATTGTTCTTGAACAGAGATGTCTATTTTGATACCATCCTTTATAATAAAATGGGCCGTTGCCAGTGTTCAGACGAGGGCACGTGGCAGTCAGCTCAGTGCGGCCTGGGACGAGCTCGCTGGCCTGCCCAGGGGCAGCCACCACCAGCTAGACCTCTGCCAGGGCGCACGGATGGACTGGGACCCTGGCAGCCTGAGCACAGGCCCCCCGACAAGCCTGGACCTGTGCCCCTAAACCAGGCTGGACTTCACTTGGCCCCACGAGCTGTGACCTGTGTGCACATGGCCGGCAGGTGGCGCTGTGGGAACGCCAAGCACGGGCCAGGTCACCTGGAGGCCAGTGGGGCAGCTCCTCACCCCATCTGGCCGGTCAGCCCACTACAGTCAGGGACACCCCATGGCTTTTAGCTGGCCATGTGGGTCACTGCACAGTCTCTGGCCGGGCCCAGGATCCCACAGCAGATGGACGTGGGGGCTGGACAGTGCGGCTGGCCCCAGGCAAGGAACCTGGACCACGTTGGAGAGTAGGGGTGTGTCTGACAGGGAGGAGGGGACAAATGATGGGGGTGTGTGACGGAGGAGGGGACACTGAACTGGCTGGCTATGATACTGGCAGCAGCCTACCTTGTTCGGGGCCACTTCCTCCACCCGGGCTCAGGGTCCCTGCTATCCATGTGTGCAACCCTGTTGGGGTGCCCACTCTGCCTGGCAGACATTAGGCCAGCTGCTGTCCCAGTCCCCTATGTGGCTCTGTCCTTGGCCTGCTGTGTGACTGCATCAGGGCCCCCTGGTGTGAAAGGAGCTCCCTTGGCCTCTGGGGTGCCTGGCCTGGCACGGAGGGTGAGGGGTAGCCTTGCCCTGTGCTCTGGGGCCTGCTGGCCTTTCCAGCAGCCTGGTGCTGCAGCACCAGCAGCCCTGCACCCACACCCCAGGACAGCACTGGCTCCTGTTGCCTGGGCCCAGGCCATTGCCCAGCACGGGGGCTGCAGGCAGCAGCGTCCCCATGTTCAGGCTCTGAGTATGGTGGGCACTGCCCCCCAGGGAGAGCACAGGCCTCAGCCGTGCTGACTGGCTCCTGGCTGATCTTGCTTGGTGCACTCTGCCCTTGGCGGTTCCCACCTGTGCCCCAGGAAGTGCTGAGATGTAGCCTGTAGCCTGTAGCCTGCTGGAACCAGCAGACACCTGCCAGCATGGTGCAGCTCTCCCACCCTCCTGGGATAGTGGACGTGGGGGCGGGGCGGAGGATGGCTTCAGAGGGGCGCTACTTCTGGGCACAGCCCTCCGCCCTAACTCGTATCCCCATGGGTGGGATCCGTGCGGGAGAGCGCCCACCTCTGCAGGGTCCAGGACCCGCATGCAGACTGGGGGTCAGGGACTCGGGGTTCTGTCGCCTCCCGCACTGCGCCCAGCCCTGGGCTGGCTTCTATGCTGCACTGCCACCCTCAGGCATCTGCAGCTGGGGCAGAGTCGGGGTCGAGGCTAGCACCCCGTCTACTCCCAGCCTCTGTTCCTGGGGGAACCCAGACCCCTGGCCCTTTGACCGCATAACAGTGGCTCTTGTCTCCCTGCTTGGTAGGGGGCTGGGGTGCCAGCCCCGGCTGTCTCGGGCAGAGGACGCCCCCACCTCCAGCCCTAGAGGCAGCAGGCGCCATTGTCCTGGTGGAGTGGCTGTAAGTAGGCGCAGGCCCCTCACACTGGCCCTTTCAGGCCTGGGTGCACCCTGGCTCTGCGCCTGCCCTCCTCATGGACCCGTACCGCTCTGGGGCCTGCCTCTGTCCTGGCCGGCAGGGCAGAGGGACTCACCCTGGGCTTCCTCTCAGGAGCCCCCACCCCCCTGCCTGTGCACATCCCTGGCCCCACCAACCCTCTTGCTCATCCCTCAGCCCGCCTGGCCCACCCCCACGGCTACTGGGCAGCTGGTCCCGCTTCTAGACTCAGAGAAAAGGCAAACAACATTGTTTACGGAAGAGGCGCGTCGCCGCGGCAGCCAGTGGCCTTCCTGGGGGGACAGAGGCCCTTTGTTGGGAAAATAGAAAGCCAGGATTTCCAGGACCTACCCGGCCACCTGCTGGCTGCCTGTTCTCTAAGCCTGTCTGTCCATCCCGTCCGTGGCCATGGCTTAGAGCTGGGCATGAAACTGCCAACGTGTGGCAGAAGGGGTCGTGGGGGGAGGGATGCACGTCCCCTAGGGACAAACTCCAAGGGCCCCAGCTGGCCCTTGCTGTCTGGAACCCCCTTGGGAGCAGTCAGGCCATGGGGGCCAGCAGGCATCCTTCCCTATCTATGGCCTGATGGCCAGGGTAACCCCAGGAGTGGTTTGCAGACCCAAGGCAGACAGACACCCAAAGCGTCAAGGCCTGGAGTGTCCAGGCTTCGGTGGGCTAGTGCCCGGCAGCTCATGGAGCCCTGTGATGTGTGCACACCCACAGAACAGATGGCGCCCACTGCCTGCTGCAGCTGGGGGAGACCCTGGAGGCTGCCCCACTCAGGCAGCTGGCACTGCCACAAGGGCTGGGGCAGGCAGAGCTGTGTGTGGTGATTGCTGCTACCCTGACCCCAGCACTGGGGCAGCTCTGACAGAGCGCGTCTGGACCTCAGCCCAAGGCAGCCAGTGCCATGCCTATGGCCCCTCCAGATGCTCATTCCCAAGCTTGGGCCACAAGGTACTGGCAGGCCAGGGGATGGCTGTCCTGGAGTCCCTGGCCCCCAGCTACTGGCTGTCTGCCGCTCCCCACCCTAATGCTGCAGCTTCTGGGGGGCGGTGTCACTGCACCACCACGGATCCGGCGACTACAGCAAGGTGAGTCCCTTGGGCTGGAGCTAACCTGGCTGCTGCTGGAGGGGAGGGGAGAGGGGCTCAGGACGCAGAGGGGCTCAGGACACAGCTAGTGGCTGGAGTAGTCATGAGTGAGCCCTGGGCATGTTGAGGCATCCCTGGGGAGACCTGTCTTGTTGGGTGGGCAAAAGGAGACCAGACAGTGGGTAGACCCCTCCAAGGAGCCAAGTGGGACCTGCATGGAGGAACCAACAGCAGGCTGAGGTGAGTGGGGTGTGGGTTGGGTAGGCTGTAGAGTTCCTCGCTCAAAACTGGGAGCTTGGAACTGACAGCGGGGTGGGGGTGGGGGAGGGTTTGGCTGGGGAATTCTGGGGAAGTTCTGGTGGGGTGGGCTGTGCAACAAGGATGACACCCAGGTGGCCAGGCAGGGCCAGAGAGGCAGCTCCGGAAGCTACCCTTTCCTAGGCAGAGCTGGGGCTGGTCTTTGCTCACCAGTCACAGCTGCCCCCTATGTGCAGATGCTACGGCCAGGTCCATAACTCCAGCCCGGCATGCCAGCCCCAGGCCTGTCCTCAGCACGAACCCTCTCTGCATGAACCGTGCTCTGTCCCTGAGGCCCTGTGACACACCCTGGGCCAAAGAGGCATGTGGTGGGCACGTGGGACGGCACAGCCATGGCCCCGAGCCAGGGCACCTGAGGTCTGAAGGGCAGATCAGAGCAGGGAGGGAAGCAGGGCTGAGCCTCTCTGCCACCTGCTTGGCCAGGGCCTTGCTGAAGCCCCCCTAGACGTGCCCTGGGCCCCTGCCCTGTGCTGCTGCTGCGCTGTTCCACTGGGCATCAGGGCTATGCAATCCACGCGTCCACCTGCCCACCCTTGAGCCACATCAAGAGGTTCTTCCAACAGACATGCTGATCACGACAAATGAATGCGACCTCTCTCCATCCAGTCCTCTGCCCTCCCTTCCTGAGGGGCCTGGCACAAGTGGGCCCCTGGCAAAGAAGTGCTCCCCAGGGAGAGGAAGAGAGGGCGGGCGGCAGGTAAGGGACGGCCAGTGAAGGAGGGAGGGGCATGAGCGAAGGAGAGAGAGTGAGAGAGGAGTGACAGACAGGAGTGACCGAGGGAGGGACAGTGACAGGAGTGACCGGGGGAGGACAGTGACAGGAGTGACCGAGGGAGGACAGTGACAGACAGGAGTGACCGAGGGAGGACAGTGACAGACAGGAGTGACCGAGGGAGGACAGTGACAGGAGTGACCGAGGGAGGACAGTGACAGGAGTGACCGAGGGAGGACAGTGACAGGAGTGACCGAGGGAGGACAGTGACAGACAGGAGTGACCGAGGGAGGACAGTGACAGGAGTGACCGAGGGAGGACAGTGACAGGAGTGACCGAGGGAGGGACAGTGACAGGAGTGACCGAGGGAGGACAGTGACAGACAGGAGTGACCGAGGGAGGACAGTGACAGACAGGAGTGACCGAGGGAGGACAGTGACAGGAGTGACCGAGGGAGGACAGTGACAGACAGGAGTGACCAAGGGAGGACAGTGACAGACAGGAGTGACCGAGGGAGGACAGTGACAGACAGGAGTGACCGAGGGAGGACAGTGACAGACAGGAGTGACCGAGGGAGGACAGTGACAGACAGGAGTGACCAAGGGAGGACAGTGACAGACAGGAGTGACCGAGGGAGGACAGTGACAGGAGTGACCGAGGGAGGGACAGTGACAGGAGTGACCGAGGGAGGACAGTGACAGACAGGAGTGACCGAGGGAGGACAGTGACAGACAGGAGTGACCGAGGGAGGACAGTGACAGGAGTGACCGAGGGAGGGACAGTGACAGACAGGAGTGACCGAGGGAGGGACAGTGACAGACAGGAGTGACCAAGGGAGGACAGTGACAGACAGGAGTGACCGAGGGAGGACAGTGACAGGAGTGACCGAGGGAGGACAGTGACAGGAGTGACCGAGGGAGGGACAGTGACAGGAGTGACCGAGGGAGGACAGTGACAGACAGGAGTGACCGAGGGAGGACAGTGACAGACAGGAGTGACCGAGGGAGGACAGTGACAGGAGTGACCGAGGGAGGGACAGTGACAGACAGGAGTGACCAAGGGAGGACAGTGACAGACAGGAGTGACCGAGGGAGGACAGTGACAGACAGGAGTGACCGAGGGAGGACAGTGACAGACAGGAGTGACCGAGGGAGGACAGTGACAGACAGGAGTGACCAAGGGAGGACAGTGACAGACAGGAGTGACCGAGGGAGGACAGTGACAGGAGTGACCGAGGGAGGG